GGCTATACCCACTTGGAAAGATTCCCCGGAAAGTGCCCCCTGGAGGTTCTATCAGAATTCCGCCGGAACTTCCAACGTAATTCCGTCGGAATTCCATCGGAGTTCCAAAGAATTTCCGATGGGATTCCGACGGAATTAGGACTCTAAAATTTTTGAAAACAATTAATCGGAATTCCGTCGGAATCCCATCGGAAATTCTTTGGAACTCCGATGGAATTCCGACGGAATTACGTTGGAAGTTCCGGCGGAATTCTGATAGAACTTCCAGGGGGCACTTTCCGGGAAATCTTTCCACTCTCTAAATCTGAATTAGTAAAAATGTTTACTAATTTAAATTAGTGACTCACTTTTTATGCTTCTGAATTAGTAAAATTTTACTAATTATTAGTAACTTTTACTAACAATTAGTAAAATTTAACTAATTCTAAAGCAAAAAGTGAGTCACTAATTTAATTTAGTAAACATTTTTACTAATTCAGATTTAGAGAGCAAGTGGGTACACTTTAATTATGTAACGCTTTTTCTTTGAAAATTGAACCCCCTCCCTCCCTTTGTAACAGATTTTTGTATTCATTAGCGTCATTTTTTTGCTGTGTGTAACAAATAACTTGTCCCTCCACCTCTATGAAGTTTTACGTAATTCCAACCCTTGAAAATCTCCCAGCAATGTGTCACATTACAGACGTTCAATTGTATTTGAAAGAACCTATCTTCTCTCATCTCTATAAAATAGTATATTTCAGTCTTAGTTCTGAGTTTACTGTATTATACGAGAAGTCAATCGAAGGTAAAAAAAAGAAAATAGAAATATAAAACGTAAAACATATAACCAAATGAAAAATTAGTAAATGACGCAGAATTAATTTGATATTAACATCTGAAAGTATATTCATGATTAAGTTGATTTTTTTCGTCTTCTTCCTTAATAATAATTACAGTATACACATAAATTATACAAAGTTGCTATTTCACTTTACTATTGTAATATGTTATCTATCGTTTCTTTTAACAAAGTAGTCGTTTATACACATACAAAACACTTAAACTTGAAGACTCATCACTTATGAGTATATCATTATATACAATAAGCTCAAATTTCGAATTAAGTAGTAAATTTTTTTTTTTTTTTTTATTAAAGTTAATTAACCATCTTGAATATCGTGACATTAGTTTGTTATACAACTGCGTATATATTCAATTCAATATATGCAATTTATTTCAATTTCAAATATAATAGAGGGTAAAATGTATGTAACAAAAAAGTCACGTAAAACCAACGTGTCACCATTATTCTTCCGGTTAAGGAATTTAAAGTTTTATGTAATTATACGGTTACATATATATATAAGTAAAATCTGTTGTTGTGACAACAAATGATTAAGTGGACAAGCGTTGCAAATATGTATTGCGCATTGTCATATATAAAAAATATTCGTATTTAAAATAAAACTAACTAGAATGCAATTATTTTTTTTCATTCTTTTAGAGAACTGAATTATTTTTTAATTCAAAAAAATTCACACCTGGAACATCGATAAGTTTCACTGAAACAGGGATATACCCAGTGGGAAATTTACCATTGGCAAAAGAGTGGCCCAATATTGGCATAGCATTGGTCCAATATTGGACCATCATTGGTCCTATAATAGCCCAATGGTTAAAATTTGCAATTTCCTACTGGGTATTTCGCTATTTTAGAGAAACATATCGCTATTCTAGATAAAGAATTTTTTCCCTGTATAATAAAGAGAGAATAATGACAAATGCACCTAAAAATTTATACAAAATACTTAAAATTAAATTAAATGTAATTAAAATAGAAATATAATTAAAATTGTAATTAATTAAATATGTTTTTTGTATAATTCAGGCCTTGACAAATAAAACTGTTAATATTTAATTTAGTGTATATTCAACGCGCGCATGGCCTTAAGTTAACGAGACCATAAATTCAATTAAATCCAGCAATCAATTTTCATGACTTATTCGCCAATTGCAATTAAACCAGATGAAAATTATGTAATTTCAAAACATAAAACCCGATTTACTAGATTTTATTTCATTGATTTTATATCATTATATACATTAATTATGAATTTGGAAAAGAATATATTTTCATGGTTTATTTAATAAGAATTTTAATTTATTTATATTAAACTTTGCAAATAAATTAATAGATGCATTTTTCATTAATCTATATAATTATGATATTTTATAGGAGTTGGGTTTATTCTCGATATGCCACACTTATTTTTGTCAAATTTGAAAATGAAATTTTTTATAGTTTTCTATATTACCGACTGGTTGAAGATTTAACTACATATGTTATTACGCAGCGCTGACAGTATTTTAATTTTTCTTTTTGCAGATTCTATCCTGGATGACTTGGGGTGTACTTCAAACATAAGGGCACAGAATTCACACAAACTTTTTAGAACTCGGTCTATTTTTACGGTTATTTTTCACATTTTTTTGAATGGAAATTTAACTTGAAAGTAGGGATCTCCGAGGGCTATTTAGTTTGAAATAATCTCCTTGAAGCTGAGAATTCGTTATTAAGGTAAATAATTGAATTTATTGGAAAAATTTTATTACAAAAAATTTAGTTGTATTTTTTGGCGTGATAATAACGTCTTACTCCGAGGTTTAGGGAGTCAGTCAGAAAATCATATCGACACGGCCAGAACTCAAAAACTATATACACGAAAAAAAATCTTTATCTGGAACAGCAATATATTTCTCTAGATTAGCGAAAACTTTCGCTGTTTTAGTGAAACATATCGCTGTTTCAGTGAAACTTATTTCTGTTTCAGGTGAAGATTTTTTACAGTGTAAAGTCATATTTTCAAGATTTTTGTGTTATTCGATTAAAAAAAAAATAAAAAAGAGACGTTATCACGATCAAAATTCTCCGCCCGTGTAATGAATATTTTGAATGTTTGTTCATTAAAAATAATTATTTAGTATTTTTGAATGTAATTAAATGCTAATGAGTATTTTAATATAATATTGATAAATATTATATTTTATTTTAATATTTCTATTAATTATTAATTCTATTAATTTTACTAAAAAAAATATGGTCCGGGTAACATAGTTTGTAATTTATGTCTTTGGTATTTCATTAGTGGGTATATTTGCGATTGTGTAACTATAATAAATAGTTCCAACCTATTCTAATAAAACGATTATCTCAGCTAATATAAGATGCAAGAATCGCGTATACTACAAAGTAATAATCCTATCCACCTATATGGATTTATAAAAAAAAATCATTCAAATTTCTAATGTAAATGTTAAATTATTTTTTAGTCAACATTAAATTATATTCGATAATTAGTTAAAATTAATTAAATTAGTTAATAGTTAATCTATCTAATTATCTATTTAGTATTTCTTTAAATTAAACAATTTTTCTTTAAATTAAAGAAAACGTTTCTTTGATCCTATATTTATCAAAGAAATATTTCTTTGATTGAAAGAAACATTTTTCTATATATAGACACACTGTCGATCCTTAGTTTGACTTTCGTGTCAGGATATTGACACAAATATTAAACTCAGTGGATATATGAATTTTGTTCGACACACGAATAGAAATAAAAACGGCAGATAAATTCGTATTGAATTGATGCTAAAATTATTATTATTATTATTTATTTATTATTTAGTGCATGAACAATTATTTATAACTCCCTATTACAGTAAAACCTCGTTAACACGAATTTAACGGAACTAGAGAATTTGTTCTTGTTATAACTAAATTCGTGTTATCCGTTAATATGTTGCCCATATGTTATTTTCAAGGAACCGAAACTATTTTGTACATCCTAAAGCGAAATTCGTATTAACGAGGTTTTACTGTAGTCAGTTCTGTAAGGGAAATTTTTATATATAAACATGCGTGATTGTTTTATGATTCTAATTTTGTCCTTTAAAAATATTTAATCATTTGATTCGTGCTTTTGTAAAAAAGTTATGTTCAAAAACTTAAATATACAGTAAAACCTCGTTAACACGAACCCTTATAACACAAATTTCGCTTTAGGACGAACAAAAGTTTCGGTCCCTTGAAAATAACATGGGCAACATGTTAACGGATAACACGAATTTCGTTATAACGAGAACAAATTCTCTATAGTCCCGTCGAATATTCGTATTAACGAGGTTTTACTGTAGTCAGTTCTGTAAGGGAAATTTTTATATAAACATGCGTGATTGTTTCATGATTTTAATTTTGTCCTTTAAAAATATTTATTCATTTGATCCGTGCTTTTGTGAAAAAGTTATGTACAAAAACTTAAATATACAGTAAAACCTCGTTAACACGAACCCTTATAACACGAATTTCGCTTTAGGACGAACAAAAGTTTCGGTCCCTTGAAAATAACATGCGGGCAACATGTTAACGAATAATACGAATTTCGTTATAACGAGAACAAATTCTCTATAGTCCCGTCGAATATTCGTATTAACGAGGTTTTACTGTATAATATATATATATAATAATGATATTATATTATTATTAATAATAATATTATATTATAATATAATAATAATATATAATATAATATAATATTATATTATTTTCAACAAAATATTTAATTTTTCGCACATATTCCTCCATCATATTTTATAGACATCTAAACAAAATCTACTTAGATATCCATTAAATCACAGAAAATTAAAAGGCATAAAAATAAGCTGCAACGCTTATTATTTTAATCCAATTTTGCTTATTTTAATACCAAAATAGATTAAAATAAGCAAAATTGAATTAAAATAATATAAGCGTTGCAGCTTATTTTAATGCCTTTTAATTTTCTGTGATATTTTAAGAGAATCTCGACAAAATTATTATAGAGAATTCGCGCAGTGTCGTCTCACAAAACATGTCCTTTACCTACTGAAATTTATCCTGTGACTATAATCTTTTGGCGCGCATATAAAGATTGATATAATTATTGAAAATAAAATAGATTTATAAATATAAAACCAACCTTTATAAAACAGTCGTTGAAGGAAAGATTATGCCGAAGAGAATTTTGCCATCGACGGGTGTCCTTTCGATAATATGGAAATCGATCAGCAATAAATTTATAAATCTCAGCTAGGGGCAACATCTTGTCTCTTGAGGACCATATTGCCATGGCTGTCAGTGAAATATAAGAATAAGGTGGCTTTTGATCACCATAAGTGTCACGCGACGGTCGTGGCATTATTAATTCCTAAAGTTTTAATTTTATTTCAGTTTTTTTTTATTATCACATTATTTGACAACACATTGTTTTTCTTAATGCTAAAATTGACATCAAAATCCAATGTCTTTAGATTTAAATGTCCTCATTTTGAGCATCATTATTAACATCAAGAGTATTTCATTAATTTGACTTTACTAATCAAATTTATCAATGATTTTAATCTTGAATCTTTGGGAAATAACAGAGGTATATATGTCTCTTCAGATGATATAGGAATTAGATTCTTATGATTTTTAAATGTATAATTTCAATTCTGCATGTAGATGACGATTTACAAATTCGTTTTTGAAAATTTTTCAATCAGTGATTTAGTTAAAACAAGAATTTACTTTTAGAACGGTTTGATAACATAAATATATCTATAATTTGTCATATTAAAAAACTTTAATTATCGAAAACAATTATGAATTTGTTAGTTTCTTCTGTTGCGAAATTTGAATCTTCAATTATTCTTCTTTGATTTCCATTGTGTTTTTGAATTTTATTAAAAACTGCGCAATTCTTCACGAAGAATCAACATATAAGCGACGGACGCAATCACCAAACAATAATCCAACATATCACTATATTAATAAATTGCGTAAAATTTTCCCCACCATAAATTGAAGACTGACAATTAAGGTCCAAGAATAATTTCTTGAGGAAAAATAACACTTGAAAAACTTTCACTATAATTAATGAAAAAATGAACTTAATCCTCTAAACACTTGAAAAAAAAAGTTTCAGTCTTCTTTGTCACTGAAATAGCGAAGAACCATTGAACACTCTTTCATGAAAATGAAACTTTTTGACAAGTCTTGACATATGAATATATCACTTCGAAGCACGTGTCGCATCACCATCACTATACCGACGTTGATTGGCTATATAGTCATCGAGTGTTTGTGAACTCGAATGACAAAATATATATGTGTAAAAAAAGGGGAAATCCGCATGTGGAATAAAGAATATATATAAAATACAAGCATCCACGATCGGAGCTTCTCGGATACTGCTGGTAAAGAGTCCCCACACCCTCGCGGTTGACTTTTGCCCCACCAGTGGTAGACCAGCAACTCATTGGTTAGAGGAGAATGTTGTTTGACCGGAGATTTTGTTTGGAGGCGATTACTCTGACCAAATGGGACCAATGAGAAGATCTTGATGTAAACCAAGGGGGTTGGAATGATCAACCCAAAAGGGGAATGGGAAAGAATGAAAAGTAGGAAGAACCCGCGACCCCTCTGAAATGTGGAATTGAAGAAGGGGTTGAAAATTCCTCTATCAAGGAAGGAGGTGGAGCTTGAAAATGTAAACGCCCATAATGATGCTCCACAATATTATATATGTATATATAGTTAGTTGCTTATGGAACGCGCCCACATAGTTTGACGGTAGGTTTATTGTGAACTTAAACTAAGCTTCCAATCAGCGGAACGTAACTAATGCAAATTCTTGATTGCTGACATACAAGAAGGCAACGAGAAAAGTGTAGTACTAAGGTTAATGGATATCAGGAGAGAAGCTTGTGGCTAAAAGAAACTTTTGATTTATGGCCATGGGTCTGATTAATTTTGTTTATATGTCCCTGTCCAATAATGTGTGTATGTTGTTTTGCTATATATAGTTGGGAATGAGGAGATCAGTTTGTAGTGACAAATAAGAGTTTTCTGATGATTAATGGATTTTATGTGCGCTCATATGTTTGAAATGTTTAATCATTTGGAATTGAATCAAGATTTTACCCCATCACGTCAAAATCTTCACAAAAAAAATATTTCTATTTTCGGATTGCTAAAATCAAATTCAATGTCCATTTTGTCAGATCTTTTTGGATCTAAAAAGAAAATAATAATTTTGAATGATTTAATAATATGCAGATGAGAGAATATATATTTTTTTTGTTCAACATCGAGGGAAAAGTGAATTCAATGATGCACCTTGATCGGATAATAAATAATTTGAAATTCCCAAACGTAATGTTGCGGTCATCAAAAATAATATAAAAGGATTTTGCGGATATATATATGAAAATTTTTCATATTCATAAGTTCATATAATGGCAATCTTTCGCATCAGAAATCGATTGGTTTGATCTTGATTTCGATCAATGGAGATATCGTTTTTTCATGTCTTGTTAGTCGTTTTCAGTCACATGGTCGACATATACAAGCAGAACCTTCTTTGAGCGAAAGATATAGGCGTGCGCATCCGTGAGCTCCACCTACCTCGCGGTTCTTCCGAAAGTAATAGAGAGAGAGAGAGAGAGAGAGAAAGAGAGATGGAGGCAGAGGGACTATTTTCCTTGTGGCAGAAACCTCCCCTCCATATACTTTAAGTATGTTTATAGATAACGAGCTCGGTTGCACACTGCATATAATTTTATGCTCTCTCTCTTGTCTCCGCCTTTTTCTGTTCTAAATTGTTTTCACGAGATCGTTTTGTACTTTCATATGTATATATATACACATACGTATATATATATATATATGTATAATATGTACTTGTGAATAAAGAACGATGTTTAAGAAATCATGATAAGTATGTATAAAATCATTATTATGAATAAGTAGATCATTGGAATAAGTATTGGAAAAAGAAAAAAAAATTACTTGGAAAGTTATAAAAGGGCTATATATACTTTCCAATCTTTGGAGATTGTACGCAGTAAAGAATAATAAAAAATCAATAATGTTTCGATATTTTCATTTTTTGTCATGAAAAATTAGGTTTCAAGCTTCCGGTTTGACGGTATTTTGAAAAATCATGACACATTCACAGAAAATTAAAAGAGGCATTAAAAATAAGCTGATTATTTTAATCCAATTTTGCTTATTTTAATCCATTTTGGTATTAAAATAAGCAAAATTGGATTAAAATAATAAGCGTTGCAGCTTATTTTAATGCCTTCTAATTTTCTGCGTTGTAATAATCTTCTTAGTTCGTGGAAGTTCGCCATAAACTATATATACATAGAGAGAAATTTCTAGGAATATTTACCGTGCTGCCACCTGAAATTTAGTGCAAAGTGAATTCTGGCATCAAATTTTTTTATCATCAGGATGGCAGAATGTCTATATTAGGAAAAGTTAAGAAATTTCTGTCAAAATGAAAATGTAAAGGCCAAAGCAGAATAGAAACGTAACGGGAATCGAATAACCGCAAACGCAACCGGAATAATGAGTTAGAGAAGGACAAACAATATATCTATCCTTTTCTAACTCATTCTTCTGGTTGCGTTTGCGATTACGATTCCGCGTTACGTTTCTATTCTGCTCAGGCCTTAACAGATGAATTTAAATGTAGAGGCATCTATGAGGACATTAACAAATAATTTCCTCTCATTAATTGGACTTATGTGCCTTAGATTAGACACTCAATCAATTATGCTCTAGCAATATGGCGACAAATTGGGTTAAAGGTATGGTACTGCATAGTTGGTGGATGGAAAGGTTACATTCGAAATCAGCGAATTGGATTGTTTTATCGAGGAGTTGAAAAAGTCCAGAAATGCGGTCCTGTGACCCGCAACCATCGAGGAGTGACACTCGCAGTATGTCACCAATCCAGTTGATGGAATCTAATCTAATCAAAAACGAGCTTATATCGAAGTCCCCTCTAGTACGAGTGTTGGTATATTTAAGTCGCAAGACCCATTGCACCTAACCCCGGCAAGCTCGAACCCAGTCTAGAGTCCTGTCCTATATTCCAAAAGTCTAGTAATTCTTCTACTAAAAGGTTGCGAACACAAAATTAAAAGGCATTAAAATAAGCTGCAACGCTTATTATTTTAATCCAATTTTGCTTATTTTAATACCAAAATGGATTAAAATAAGCAAAATTGGATTAAAATAATAAACGTTGCAGCTTATTTTAATGCCTTTTAATTTTCTGTGAATCCAATCTGGGTCTACAAATAAGGCATGACCCCAGTATTGATGTATAACTGCAGCGTCAGCTATGGACAGTGACATAAAATATGAGTCGAAGATTCCTGTTCTGCATCACCTCTTTGGTGGCCTGACGTCAGGGGTACCAATGCAACTGCAAACCGTCGTCTGCTCTAAACATAAACAAAAGCAGACGACGGTTTGCAGTTGCGTTGGTACCCCAGACGTCAGGCTACCAAAGAGGCATATATACCTAAAGTCATGCTTCGGTATGAAGGCGTGAAAATCCGCTCTATTTTGTGCTGATGATAGTTTAGGGGGCCATATGTCCTGTGAGTATATAGCCTAACCATACTGCTCTAACCCTGATCTTTTTGAGTTTTAGAAGGGAAAGCCTCCGTTGAGTTTTAATCCTAACAGAGCCTTGCGGCTAAGTCTCAAACATATAGATATTTTATGAGTTGCCTACACTGAAAAAGTCTTAAGCGATCAGCAGTTCCAACAGTGGAAATACAGTATAGCTCTTTGCTTTGGAGTGTCTGCGGAGCATGATTTTGAGCAACCTCTATGCTAAATGTTGGGCGAGCAGATGTTCCACGTTATTGTTACCAAGATTTGGTGATGCTCCAGCATCAGACTTGGGCACTCAGAGCACCCAAGATGGGAAACAGTTAGCCCCACAATGAAGTTGTGCAGAATCTCTTTATTTGGTGCTTCTCATACATGCGTTGGGAATTCTAAACGCCCAAGACTTTTTCAGTAGTGTATGATGAAGAAAGGTCGTCAGGTGACATCGATGCCTCGATTACGAACGACACTGTAAGGCAGAGGACAAATCGACTGCGTGCTTTAGATTAGAAGTTAATCACAATTTCCAGATTGAAAAAGTGCCCAACAAAATTCAACACGTCGGGAAAGTTATCGTCAAGGTAGTCGAAAGTTTAAGCTTTAATTTGAAACCATGAAGGTTCTAGCACTTATTGTTTCATCGCTATAGATGTACTCAAACATTTCGAGATTTTTTTGACCCCTTCGAATCCACTTACGGATTCGAAAAACAGCTTTGACATTTGTCGCACCAAAATCAGTGTTGCCCTAATATGTAATTTAGTACAATAGTACTAGGACAACTGTAGTCAATATTTTTTAAAAATCAATTATCTGAAATAAATAAATCTTCTTTTGCGGTTTCAAAAAAAAATTATTGCTAATCACCCCAATAGCCCAGTAAAAGTTACGCCACTGATGATAGGGAGGGGCATATAATCCAGTTTGGAAGGGATTTTGTTGTGAGAGTAAAGGAAAGATAGTGAGAAAGGGGTGGGGTGAGGGGTAGAGAGAAAGGGAAGGAAGGTAATTGATTTCACGCTCGAGTAATCTTTTCTCTTCGCGGGAGGGGAAGGTCGTAAAGCACATTGCGCCTCGTGCTTCGTGCCTCGTACGTCATGGCCGTTAATACGATGTCCAAACCCTCCCCACTACTTTTGCTCTGACATATTGCAGCCCGAACCTCCTTTTAAGCCATAAGCGAATAAAGCGCATCGCACGAGTACACACGCGAACATGCGCCATATCCTCTCCACAAGGAGTTATCGCGCCATAAAGGGAATGAGAAAAAGAAAGAGATAGCCCTCTCTTCTTTACATTCCTTCATAATTTTAATTACCTTCTTCCAAAGGATACCCGCACACTTGTTACAGCATCCAATTTCATCCTCGTTAATACTTTTCAAATCATAAAAATCAAATCCAAATTATTCCAATTCTAAATGTCGAGAAATTAATTTTTAACTAGGCTTTTTATAAAAATTCATTTTACAAGTGTAAACAGTACTTTTATTTTAGAAGAATCTACATCACATTTCTGATTGTAGTAAAATTGCGCAAAATTCTGAAATATGAATCTAGATCATTGATTACAAAATATTGTTATATAAAAAAAAATTTTGTTGATATTTAATGAATTTCTAAATTCGATACTGATTGATTGGAAAAAAATAGATGAAGCGACATAAGTGAAAGTTTACAGAAATCGTGTAAAATTGTTTTTTTTCACATTGAATTCTCGAGTAAGTGCTGACATCTTTCGGTGAAATTAAAAACCATTGTTGAGGAAAAAAACCTCGGATGGTAAATCATCTTGATAGTCGAGATGGTTTTAAACCTAAACGATCTATAACATATTGTGGCATGCAATATGTTGGATTAATTGATTTCAATGTAGTTTTGGTGTCCAGTAATGATACAGCTGTTAAGCCAAATAAGGTGTGAAATGGATCCACCATGTCTCCAGGTCGATCGCTAAAACCTCCGGTCTCTAAATCTTGACACGACATCACAAAATTCAACTGTAAATTATATTTTATTAATTAATCATCAAAGAAATTGAAAATAATTTTCATATTAAAATAATAATTACCAATTTTTCTTTATCTATCCAATGCAATCGTCCCAAGATTGAAAGGGATGATAAAACCCACCACGAGTAGCAAACATCTGGTAATTTTTCTGGTCTTCCATTTAATCCACCAGATCCTAATTGCCTTTCAGCTAACCACCAGCCTAATCTATCAACCTCCACCAAATGTAAATGACCTGCCAGAAAAATTATTTCTTATGATATTCAATGTTAAAAAAAAGAATATTTTTTTTTTATAAATCTTTTTACCTGTAATTGATAATAGTCCAAGACTACAATAAATAAGTCCCGAATGACTTTCACTTCCAGGTTTCGAACCAAATCCACCATCAAAATTCATACAACTTTTTACAAATTCTACAGCTTTTTCAACATCTATTTCGTCTAATCTGCCCTGTAAAAAAAAAAATTTGATTACTTTTATTTAAAGAAATGAACTATTTGACAAATAAAAATTTCTCACCAGCAGAGATAATGATGCTACTGCACAAAATGAAAACCTGACATCAATTTCACCCCAAATATCACCTGTAAAACTCCCATCAGGTTGTTGTCTTTCTTTTATATATTTCACAACTTTATCAACATTAATCACATCCAATGCATCATATATACAAAGTATTTGAATTGCGCTTAATGTGTACAATAAATGTGGATCATGATTGATACTAGCACCAATTCCTCCACAATCATATTGACATTTTCCTATAAATTCTAATACCTCTTCTCTATTTATACGATCTAATTGATCCATAAGATCTAGTGCTGTTAAGCCCCAATATATACCTGACATTCTCAAATGTTCTGTCATACAATATGTCTGCAAAAAATAAATAGATGAACTGAATTAATACAGATATGGAAACTGAAAATAAATTTTAGAATTAAAAATATTAATATACCTACATAATCATCTTTATTCATTGAATAGGAAACGAGATAATCTGCATGTTTTTCCAGTAATAATTGTGGAATATCAGCTGGCAATTCAATATCATTCTTTGCGATTGCCTGTATTATAGTAGAAAATAATTAAGATTAATTTAATCATTCCTTAATTATGACAAATATTTTCAAAGATCTTAATGCCTGCTCTCTAAATTTGAATAAATGAAATTTCACATGCAGATTTAGTGAGTACACTGTTAAATATGAAGCAAATATACAATACTCTCTAAATCTGGGTAGCGATTATGTATTTTGATTTTCCTTTGACGTCAAAGTCATTTTCATTTTGACTTCGTAGTCAAATGTCATTTTAAATAGTTTTACGTAAAATCATTGTTTAGATTTGTCAAATTGTAATAACCACAATTTTGAAGTATAATTACTTTTTTCCCTTTATTAAAAATTTAAGAATAAAAAGTTTATTTAAGAATTAAATGATGAAAAAGTGAAGTAAGTATAATTTTAAAAAGATCAAGACAGCTTTACAAGGATTTAAAAAAAAAAACTTTTATAACTTTAACAAACTAAGTAAAAGTAAGAGGTTAAAAAAACTTTAATTTATGAAATATAATTAAAACATTAATATTATTTTATTTATTTATTCATTCACATATGTTAAGAGGAAAAATTGAAAGAATTATTTAAATATTACTATTTATATATAATTAATTACAGTTTAAATAAAATTAATCGTTAATTTTTATTTACACAAATATAAATAACAGTCTCGTTACTGAATTTATGTTTAGGAATTAATTGCAATTACATTATGCCAAAAAATTGGGTATTTTTAATAATAATTTATGTTGAGCATTTTCTATTTTAAATTACATCAATAAATTATGTACAAAATGTCAATTTGCTCAAAACAGTATAGGAAACTAATTTAAGTTAAAATTATTTTAGGAAAAAAATATTTCATCGGTCAAATGTAAGTAATTTTTTATGTTTTGAATTATCTTTTAAACGACATAATTTCTTCTTTAGTTTTTGATATTTTAGTTTATTTTATTCTGACTACATTTATAAAAATGAAAGTAAGGCATTATTCAAAACAATTATAACATATCCCTGGTTTCAACATTAAAAAATACTTACCATTGACAGATGAAATAATTTTTTATTAAATAATTTTAACCTAATTATTAATCTTTTAAAAATTCCTTAATTATACCGCTTTTTTAACTGTTTAAAATTACTTACTTTACTTTTTTATAATTAAATTCCTAAATAAATTGTGGATATTACAATTTGACAAATCAAAACAATCATTTTACGTAAAACTACGAAAAATGACATTTGACTACGAAATCAAAATAAAAATGACTTTGACGTCAAAGTTAAATCAAAATACATAATCGCTACCCTGAATCAGTAATATTTTACTGATTATCAGTAGAAATCTACTAATTGACATAGCGAGAATTGAGCAACTGATAATTAAGTAGAAATTTACTGATTCAATTAGTAAAATATCAATTACTGATTGAATCAGTAATATAAACATATGGCAGCGGCCGCAAAATCTACTGATTTAACAATTAATTTTAAAGGTTATGTTCTATACAAATTTACATAAATTATTTTCTATTGCTTATATATTCACTAATTATATTAGTAAATTTCAAAAAATAACTGAAACTTCATTTAAAATGAAAAGTAATGAAATAAAATTTCTACTGATTCAGATTTAGAGAGTACTAGAACTAAATTTAATATAAAGTTTCATTAAATTTAAAGTCAATGTATATTAAATTTAATGAAATTATTTAATTTATTTAACTGTAGGCTTAACTTGACTCCTTTTATTATTTTATCCTTCAATTGTAATTTCTTTCTGTAATTATTCAACTAATTGTTACAGATAATTAAGTAAAGCAAAATTTAATACATACCATTCTGAAAACAAGTATTTAAAAATCCAGCAGCTAATTATTATAAATTACAATTGTTAATAAAAAATTCTTCTTTCTCTTTTTATAACCTTTTAATTTTTCATTTATCGGTTTCTCAAGTAAAAGTCCAAGAATACTAAACAGAAATTGTTATCAGTGTCTTTCGTCATTTTTTTAATGTTTTAAAAGTATCAATGAACCGCCATGTTACGATTTTTAAATTTAATTAAAAACTTTTTCTTGACATGTCAAAATATTTTCTAACCTCAAAATCAAAAATCTTATTTCTATAATGCGATTAAGAATGTCTTTACTAAACAATAGAAAATATTTCAGTCTTTTCTTTATTGAATCTAATTAAAAAGAATAAAACTGTTAATTAATAATTTTGTTGTACAATGTTTACAATTTTTTTTTTTTTTCACGACAATCACTTTTTAAGAAACACAAAAAACGACATGACATGAAACCAGATAATTCATGACAAATTAACGGACATGAATAAAACGCATGCGCAATAATTTAGAAAAGAATTTTCAGTCAATGAATTTGAATTTTTAAAACAAAAATCTATTTCAAAATCTACTAAAACTTAAATTGAAGGGAAAATATAATTCAAAAATAATTTGAAATATTTTAATAAAATTAAATTTCTAAATTCTGTATAATTATAAGAGGATTTAATAGGAATTCTGTTAATAAAAATACCAGCAGTTTATACTGTAGAAATTTTAGAAACCTATAGTAGGTAACAAATGTATAGTAGTAGCTAGTTTAACCTTACGTCGATAGATGGAGCCGTATGATAAATACCAGAGGATATGCCCCTGTTATTTGATAACCCAACTTGCAGAACTGTAACGTACATATATTATTATAATTTTTAATTAAAAATAATAATTTATTAAAATTTTTTAATATAAATTTATTAATCAATTTTTTGATTTACAAATTATATTAGATTTTTATCGACCGTAAATTTCAAGAGAAAAATTAATTCCATAACTTCTTTGACTAGTGAATTTCATAGTGACATCAGAAAATGATGGACCTCCATTTGTTACTTTTACATAACCACCATTGCCATCGGTTTCTAAATCTTTTGCTATAATTTGAGTGATTTTTGTTCCTTTAATGGTATTTATTGTTTTAGTGAGTTCAACTACTCGTAACCATTTTCCAGATTTTACAATATTTTCCTTATGAATCACTTTGTCACCAGGAAGACGTGAACCGACAATCATGTCATGTCCAGGAACTTTGCCTTTTAGATTTGTTTCTTGTGACTTTAAATTCCATGCCAGTGCAATACTTATCGTAAATGTAAATATTATCACAGATTTTAATGACAACATTTTAGAAAGGTAAAAAGTTTCACAATTCTGAAATGAAAAATTTAATTCAATGTTATTTATATTTAAAAAAGATTTTAAAAAAAATTCTTTAGAAACTATTTAAATATTTATTAATATGTGGTTTTTTATTTTATATTGAAAAATGTGAACTCATTTTGAACGTTTTACGTAATACACTCTAAATCTGAATTAGTACAAATTTTGACTTATTTGAATTAGTTTTAATTGAAAAGTAAAAAGTAAAATTTAAATCATTTAATGTTTTACTCACCTGACTAAAATTCTACCAATTTATGACTGACTCAGTTCTAGTTGATTGCAGTTTTATAAAAATATCTTATCTATCTTATCGCAAATATATGGATCATGTAATAACTTTTCAATTTATCATTTATTTCCTCGTATTTAATATAAAAGCTTATCAAACAAAATTTCTGGAAGTTTTTTGGTATAAATAAATATAAGTCAATTTTGTTATCGAAAATTAATTATAATACCATTTTGAAAGTTAAGGAAAACAATTTTTAAGTTATTCTTGAAAAGAACCGATCAAGTGTTAATAAATCTCGCGTATATATTTATGTGGTTTCATTAAAGAATATTTAATGTTGTAAAAATAAAAGTTTAAAAGTAAAAAAAAAAATATTTAACAAACTTTAAAGAAATTCATTATTGCCCATTAGGGGCACAAAACGATCTTAGAAAATTAATGTCTTCTCAAATAACGTTCTGAAAATGTTTAATGTTTGTTAAATATTTTCAGAACATAAAAAAATTGTTAGAGTGTTATTTGTTGTTATCAAAGGGTCAAAATTTGCCACCTATTGGAAAAGCTTTGGATTTGCTTGCACTGAAAAAAGGGTTTGGTATTGACAACCAAACGTTTGGTTGGTATTTAAGCAACCAAAATTTTTTTGTTGAATCAACAAAATTTTAATTGTCTCAATCAAAATTTGTTTAACACAACCAAAATTAGAAAAAAAGGATTTTTGTTGTCCTAACTAAAGTTTGATTGGAACAACCAAAATTTTGTTGAATCAATAAAAAAAAATTTGGTTGCTTAAATACCAACCAAACGTTTGGTGGTCAATACCAAACCCTTTTTTCTGTGTGGAATAAATTGAACACACTGAGAAAAAAAATTTAGTGTTTGCAATAAAATTGTTTGGTTAGACGATTTTGGTTCTTGCAACCAAATTTTGGTTGACTGAAACAAAGTCATAGAGTTATCTCAACCAAACATTTGGTTATGCCAACAAAATTATTTGGTTGAACATTTTTAAATTCCGCAACCAAAATTTGGTTACCACAACATAATAATTTGGTTATCACAACAAAATAGTTTGGTCTAAAAAACCAAATGATCGTTTGTTGTCCTAACTAAAATTTGGTTGCGACAACAAAATAATTTGATTCGCTCTCAGCTCATAGCTTATAATAGAACAGTAAATATAAATTCAATGTTAAATTGATAAAATAAATAAATAATGAAATAAATAAAAAAGATAAAAAGAAAAGAGATAAGGTAGAATAAAATTTTTAATTTTACAAAAAAAAACTGTTTATTTGATCAACCAAACATTTTTGTTGACCTAACAAAAAAAATTTGGTTGAGCTAACCAAACATTTTTGTTGACCTAACAAAAAAATTTTAGTTGAGCAAACCAAACATTTTTGTTATGCCAACAAAAAACACTCAACCAAATTTTTTGGTTGACTCAAACAAATAGTTTGGTTACTTAAATACCAACAAAATTATTTTGTTGGCCCAACCAAATTTTGGTTGCTCTGACTAAACATTTTTCTCAGTGCATCCTTTATTCTGTAACAGTATAATATATATCATTGTAGTCTACTTTATCAAGAAATAGCCATCAATTCTATTGAGAAGGTTCAAAATTTGTCCGAAAGGTGGGAACATTTGTATTAAATTTTGTAGAGAATTTAAAACATTTTTAATTTCACATAAATTTGTTATTTCCATCAAATATATTTGTTCAGTAAAAATATTATTAAAAATAAAATCTATTTTTTTTTTGGTTATTTAATTAGTTTTCAATTATTTTATATAAAATCTCTGTATTATTATTTTATATTTTTTCTAAACTCTACTTTTGACTATAGATATAATTTTTTTGTCCCTTTTTGAAAAATTATTATATACCCTATTTTTTTTCACTCTCTTTGTCTCCCTTATATGCTCACTCTCTGGGTGGACAAACCAGATGGCTCATCGCAAATCAAGATATTCTATCAGTATATTTCCAGAGGATTTAGGGTTGCGAAAAATATTGTAGGGGGATTTTTGTTTTCTTCTATTTTCTGAACTCTCATCGCTTATAACAAAGAAAAAAAAGTGAGTTCTGAGATTGCTTGATTGAGAACGTGACAAGTCTTCAACAATTCTAAGGAGCATTGGCCTCTTCTTCAGCTCTTGATATCAAATTCTTATATAACACAAAGTTTTGCCTTTGAAGGGTAAATTAAACTTTCCTCAAATATACAAAGAACTTTGTTGTGGATATCTTGAGAAATTTGATCATCATATCCCCATTACTCGTTATAAATTTTACTAATAGTTTTTTTTCATTTTTTTAAAATTACTGATTATTTTTTATTTATAAATTATATGAATTGTCATTGACGGGGGAGAATCCTTGTAGAAAAATAAAAAAAAAAAAATGTAATTTTGTATACAGAACTGGTGATAAATTAGAAAATTTTATGTCTTGTCATTAATAATCTCGGCTTTTCCAATTTGACCATAAACCCAGATATATACGCGCGACCTACAACCTTCACCTATTCGTGAAATTAGATCGTTTGAGGCCGTGTAATTGGAAAATATAAAGTTTGTTAACCAATTTATCGAAGACGATAGACTTTGGCCCTTGACAAGCGGTGAAATTGCTGCCACGTGTGAAATGAGTTTCAGAGATGACGTTATACATGTCGATGAATACAAAGTGTCCTTAGGGAAAAGACCGCCGCCACCGCAACTGTAAATGATAGAAGCATGTATAATAATTGCATTATTTATCGACTCAATTTTCCTTCTATCAGATTTTATCCAATTTTCAAATATCGGTTTACTTTAATCATTTATATGTATATATGGGCAAATCCATGAAACTTTTAACTTTTGTGATTCTCAAATCGGAATTATTTTTAATTAAAACTTTGGGTATAATTTTTTTTTGCTAAATTATATACAAAGGAACATTTATATACAGTATAGTGATAGCACTTTTTAAAAAAATTCAATTGAACGTCTTCTTATGAAAATATCTATTACGGCGTTGGATAAAAATAAAAGTTCAATGCATTTATTAAAAGGTGTTGAAAAACAAAAATTTTAAGACCTTTTTCAATGATGTGCCTCTAATTGTATTTCTGTGGCAACAATTTAAAGATGATGATAAAAATCGTGATCACAGAAAATTAAAAGGCATTAAAATAAGCTGCAACGCTTATTATTTTAATCCAATTTTGCTTATTTTAATTCCAAAATGAATTAAAATAAGCAAAATTGGATTAAAATAATAAGCGTTGCAGCTTATTTTAATGCCTTTTAATTTTCTGTAATTTAATTTAAATTTATACATTTTTTAAAGGCACAACTGCATTTTTGCTTTAAACAGATCAATCTATGGTGTGATCGGAACATTCACAGAAAATTATAAGGTATTAAAATAAGCTGCAATGCTTATTATTTTAATCTAATTTTGATTATTTTAATCCATTTTGGTATTAAAATAAGCAAAATTGTATTAAAATAATCAAAATTAGATTAAAATAATAAGCGTTGCAGCTTATTTTAATGCCTTTTAATTTTCTGTGTTTTCATACATTTGAACACAAAAACGCCGCTTAAGGATTTTGAGTGAAATAAATTTTATTAAGTTAAGAATATGCTCAAAACACTTTTTTGGAGTCTTTACCCCCTCTTTTCTCAAAATCCTGACGTGCTTAGCAAATTTTGGTGCCAGAATCGTGTTCAGAGGACGAAAATATACTTTAGAAACCACTCTCGATATCAAAAATAAAAAAGTTGAATTTTCCAATTTTATATGTAATTTATTAACATTAAAGAGTTAAACATTGACAGCGTGAGCTAAAAATGAATCACGCATATGAATTTGCTAAAATGTTCTTAAACGTGTATACAAAGTGACATCAATGTGCCTGCAAATTAAAAAAAGAAATTTTTTTTCTTAAAAGTTTCGTGGATTTGCCCATATACTTTCAAATTTTCAAACTAGATTGCAATTATTTATTATTATTCGAAAAATAAATTTACTAAAAAAAAAATAAATGGGAAAAAATATTATGTTTGCCTGTGAAATAAATTATTTTAATCGATATATAAAACCTCTAGTTGAATGATTATCAATAATACATTATTTGAAATTGCATTTAGCTAGAAATTTCAATGAGAGACTAAGTGTATTGTTTGGGGGAGTGAATTCACTGTAGTTGAATATAAGCCGCAAGTGGGAAAATATGAGGGGCTTTCAAGAGTCCAGTATATATATATATAGTTCACGACAAAGAATTTATTTTACATCAAAAGGAGTTAATATTTTTGAAATTATTTCTTCAATTTATTTAGAGATAATATTTTTTCTCATAAAAATTTTTAGATAACATTTAGCTGAACAGATTAAGAATTTGAAAAATCTTGTATTAGCAACAATTTGTTCTTAATCTGATCGAACATTCAAATCCGAAATGAGTCTGAAATAATCTAGAATTTGTATATACAAAATTATTGTCGTAGCGGACTAATAACAGATTTTTAATTAAAATTTTTCACCTGACTAAATCCGAATTCATCGTTACATTCAGTTTTCTTATATTTCGGACTATTTTCTGATTAAGAGTTTTATGCGGACTGACTATTGAATTTGTGTGTATTAATTACGGATTTTTCGAACTCATTTCGGACTGAATTTTATATACTAATCATTTTTGTTTTTCTAATTTTACATAAACTGTAGTTGTATCTATTAATTATTCGTTTGATTGTAAATCTTCATAAGGTATGTCACTAGGATCACAATCAATAAAATGATAATTATTTTTAATTGTCAAATTTTGATTCGAATAGAAACAATGGATGAGCATTTTATTGAAGTGGGATGATAGCATAGTTTTTGATGACAAATTCGTTGTAGGATCTCTTGAAGCACTGGAAATCTACGACGTGCGTATCTGTAAAGATAATGACTCTAGTCTCCCAGAGCTGCTCTCTTTATACTCTTATCCCCACTCCTTATCATTACCCCCACCTCTCATTTTTGCTCCCACCCTTGATGATACTTTCTTCACAACATTATTGCTAATTAATAATATAAGAAGATGATATCGATCATTCCGAGTCAAGGATTAAATAAAAACATTATTCTTT